TATTCACAATCAACAACAGATGACTACGAAACTAAAATTTCACAGTTTCTCCGCAAACAATGCATTGTATTCACGTCAGTGTGACCTCAAGGGGTTCGAATTTCACGTTATCCTTTGCTACTTTACAACAAAAAATCTATAAAATATCATGTCAAGAACGTGTCTGTTCCACCAGAAGCATGCAATTGAAAATTGCGCCAGAGATGGCAAAACTACGGAGTACATTGCAATATATTATGCTTGGCCAAATAACAACATCATACTTGACTACAAGAATAATCGGACCCCAAGAAGTATGTGCACCAAGATGGCGCACAACCTGGACATAGTACAGGTATGTGTACCGGGTTAGGATTCAGGTTGTGCGCCATTTTGGTGCACATACTTCGAGAGTGCCGAATAATCTACCTTGTCCGGGAAGGAAAAGCATCCATCCTAATATCTTCTGAGATTTTTTTTAACATTTGATATATATTATATAACACTCAAACTTGTGTTAGTAGATTATTTAACGGAAATTGTTATTTGCGTTCACTAAATATTTCCGACCAAAATGTAACTCTCAGTTACTATGAGCTGAAGATCTGAAAATTTAATCTTCGACATTAAGAAAGGGTTTCAAACTTTGGCTGCTTGCCTATGGTCCTGTTCCACGTGACTGCCGTATGTTAGAATTTTTGTTTTGATAAGATTGATCGCATAAAAAATGAATGACTAAAAGAACTTTGATTTTTTTCACGACCAACCACAGATGACCACGGAGCTACAATTTCACATTTTCTCTGCGAACAATGCATTGTATTCACGTCAGTGTGACCTCAAGGGGTTCAAATTCCAGACTATCCGTTGCATCTACATTGTAACGATATACCTTCATTTAATCATATTAAAGGCCGCGTCTTTATCACCAGAAATCTGTTACGAAAGAAAACTCGTGATCTTGTTTGATTCAACTTACACTTGGTGTTTATATTTGTAGAAGGAAGAATGAACCAAAAAGGGTTTGTAAAAAATTAAGATAAATGTAATTATAAAGATAAACAATGTATAAAATAGGACCTCTAGGAGTATGTGCACCAAGATGGCGCACAACCTGAACATAGTGTGTGTATACCAGGTTAGAGTTCAGGTTGTGCGCCATCTTGGTGCACCAAATAAAATGTAAGAAATCGATTCAGAAGTTGTAAGTTGTCCAATCATGATAGACATACAATGAATTTTAAATGCGTTATTTTAAAGCTGGCTCTTTCCGGTTTATTTCTTCACTCAAGATCAACAACAAGAGCAAGTTGCGCACTGCCGTCTCGTGTGTAATTGTAAAGCGAACTCTTTTTGAATAAAGTGCTCTTCACAAAGATATTTAAATATTTATGAAAATGTTAATTTGTTTTTACATAGCACAACCTTTGGTGCTCTTGAAGTATGTGCACCAAGTTGACGCACAACCTAATAACCCTTACCTGGTACACATACTATTTTCAGGTTGTGCGCCATTTTGATGTACATACTTTTGGAGCGCCAAACCTTTTTGTGAACAAAAATTTTTCTTCCTCGAGAAATAGGGTTTTGAAATTCGTTAACAATTCTGTACAAATATCATTTATCATATTCCTTCGATTATTGTTCTACTGCTTTAAAAATTCAAAATGTATCAGCAAATATATGATGTGGAAATGTATTTTAAATTGAAGGATTTCTAAATATGTTTGAATAGAAAATTGAAATCAAACTTCAAATTTTCTCACGATAAAAATTTAGAGAAGTATTGTAAAGAAATTATTAACTGTTGGCTTTTGTTTTGTGAAGCGCAAATGCTTTGACTATTATTTAAAAAATATCAATATTTTTGATACAATTTTGTCTACATGTGCCTTGCTTTCAGGTGTCGTATTTATTTGTTTTGTCAAAAGTCGATCTGCAATCCAGAGCGAGGCAATTTCAAATTTTAAAATTGAATAGATTGTTATTGTTAATTTCAATTCAAGTCAAAACATTCCATACCATTGCGTTGCTAGCTTGACATCCGATAATAAAAATATCAGCAAATATTGATATAAGTACGATGTATACTTGGACACGGTAGCTTCCTCACGTAAGTTTAAATTGGGAAGCTTCGTGCGTAAAAAACTGGAAATTTGTTTATCATGTTGTTAATTGATATTGCACAACTTTCTCATAATAAGATTTGTCAAAAACTAGAAAACAAAACTTATTGAATTCTTCCGATTTTCTATACACCAGTTTTTTTATTATTATTTTATATTATGTTTCAGAAAGGCTGGAGGAAGGGAAATATATAAAATAAAATTAGGTCGAATATTCGGTAAAGTATTTTGCGTATCACATGACCTTTATTTAAACACAACTTTTTAAAAAAATGAACAGTGCTTTTTTGAGTAATCTTTTCGAAATACTTTTCAAAATGAAACAAATGTAAGACTGAAAGAACTTTGATTTTATTCACAATCAACAACAGATGACTACGAAGCTAAAATTTCACAATTTCTCGGCAAACAATGCATTGTATTCACGCAAGTGTGGTCTCAAAAGATTCAAATTCCACGTTATCCGTTGCTTCTACTTTACAACAACAAATCCATGAAATATCATGTCAAGAACCTGTCTGTTCTACCAGAAGCATGCAATTGAAAATTGCGCCAGAGATGGCAAAACTCTGTAGTACATTGCAATATATTATGCCTGACCAAATAGCAACATTATACTTGACTACAAGAATAATCGGACCCCATAAAGTATGTGCACTAAGATGGCGCACAACCTGAACATAGTATGTGTACCAGGTTGTGCGCCACTTTGGTACACATACTTCGAGAGTGCCGAATAATCTATCTTGTCAGGGAAGTCAAAACATCCATCCTAATATCTTCTGAGATTTTTTTTAACATTTGATATAGAATATATAACACTCAAACTTGTGTTAGTAAATTATCAAACGGAAATGGATAAACATTTCCGATCAAAATATAACTTCAAGTTAATATGAGCTGAAGATCTGAAAATTTAATCTTCGTCATTAAGAAAGGGTTTCAAACTTTGGCTGCTTGCCTATGGTCCTGTTACACGTAACTTCCGTATGTTAGAATTTTTGTATTGATAAGATTGAACGCATAAAAAAGGTATGACTAAAAGAACTTTGATTTTTTTCACGACGAACAACAGATGACCACGGAGCTACAATTTCACATTTTCTCTGCGAACAATGCATTGTATTCACGCCAGTGTTACCTCAAGGGGTTTAAATTCCAGGCTATCCGTTGCATCTACATTGTAACGATATACCTTCATTTAATCATATTAAAGGCCGCGTCTTTATCACCAGAAATCTGTTACGAAAAAAAACTCGTGATCTTGTTTGATTCAACTTACAATTGGTGTTTATATTTGTAGAAGGAAGAATGAACCGAAAAGAGATAAATTTATTTATAAAGACAGAAGACACTATGTATTCCTTGGAATTCGTTAACATTTTCTGTACAAATATCATTTATTTTATTTCTTCGATTATTGTTTTACTGCTTTAAAAATTCAAAATGTATCAGCAAATATATGATGTGGAAATGTATTTTCAAATTGAAGTATTTCTAAATAATTTCAAATTTTCTCACGATAAAAATTTGGAGAAGTATTGTAAAGAAATTATGAACTGTTGGCTTTTGTCTTGTGAAGCGCTAATGCTTTGACTATTATTTAGAAAAAATCAATATTTTCGATACAATTATGTCTACATGTGCCTTGCTTTCAGGTGTCATATTTATTTGTGGACCTCCAGAAGTATGCGCATCAAGATGGCGCACAACCTGAACATAGTATGTGTGTACCTGTTGAGATTCAGGTTGTGCGACATCTTGGTGCGCATACTTTTGGAGCATCTTATTTGTTTTGTCAAAAGTCGATCTGCAATCCAGCGCGAGGCTATTTCAAATTTTAAAATTGAACAGATTGTTATTGTTAATTTCAATTCAAGTCAAAACATGCAATACCACTGCGTTGCTAGCTTGCAATCCGGTAATAAAAATATCAGCAAATATTGATATAAGTACGATGTATACTTGGTTTTTCAGAGAAAATTTGAACTCTGAATGAAAACTCGAAAACAGCTCTACTAAAATCCTCTGAATTTTATAGACATTTCGCTTTTAAACTAAGTAATAAAAAAACACTTAATTATTCATGCACAGATTTGTCAACTTAACCGTGACATGACGTATTGAAATATGTTATCTTATTCAGAAATATTCTTGAACGGGTTTTTCTATTCAAGATAGCTTTTCCTTCGCATCAATTACTATATATTCAAATATATTATGCAACAGCCGACATGGGTCGCCACCGATGTTATTGCATGAATGCAACGGATAAAATGAAGTTTGAATCATTACTTATCGATCTCGATCGGTAAGTATGTTGATAGGTAATTGTCTGCTTGTTTGTTTGTCTGCGTGTTTGCCTGTTAGATGCAAGCGATATCTCACGAAAGCGAGGTTGAATCTGCTCCAAATTTTGCATGTGCATTCATCGTATCTCGGACCAGAAGCCTATGGATGAATCATATAGTATACTTAGCGAGTTATTGATTAATTAGTGATAAGACACGTGGTGTCGCTATTGAGTCAGAGCGAAGGAGTCGAAACCGAAAGGTCGATAAGTCGGCGGTCTCCGATTGCTATCTAGTTCCAAGTTTACACTGCCAGGAATACTGATACAAAGCGTTCGTGTACGAGTTATCCCAACAATTTTTAGTCAGACAAGTTTAATTATCTTTGCATAATACGTCGACTCAGACTGCAAACTCTAGAAATTCGGGTAGTTGAAAATACGATTCCTGCGCTGACTCACAACTCGTAGTCACTCTTTTTGCTCATCACATTATCTTACATGGTATCAACTGTTTTAAGTATGGCGGAACAGATCGTTTCAGTCGGCCCAATCATCCAAAAACACTTTTACTAACTTTCGCACAAAACAATTGTCTCTCACATATACCTTTATCAATGTAAAAATAAATTTCAGCGACAAGAAAAACTTTCGTCTCTTATAAAGCCGCGATAACAAACATTTTAAACTATTTGCTGAATCCGGCAAGCAGATCGGTATAAACTGGGACAAGTGATAACAAAGACGAACTGAATCAAAGGTAATTTGTCAGTAATATCTATTTGTGAAGTTGCATGTTTGTTTTTTGGAAGCTGTTATTAGCTTTGCCCCGGATAAAGTCTCGAGGCAAGAAAGCAGGTTAAAAGTTGAAGCCTCAAGTTCATTAAGGTATTTCCTTTAAAGTTGAAACTATTTTTCATTTTTAATCTGTTTTCAAATTAGAAAAAATCCAGAAGCTTTAATCATAAGAAGTAAAATTTGTTTTATTTTTAATCATTTTAATTATTTTTTTACCGAATATTTGTGTTTGAAAGATGGGAAATTGAATACGGCCTGAAAGCGGAAAGCCTTAACAATTACTCCTGAACGAAATGAAAACTCTATTCTTAATTGAAAAAATCATTTTACGTTAGTTAATGCCTTTTATGTTTCGAAAACGATAAGAAAGCGATAAAACTGTATTAGATTATTTATGTATTATAGATTAATATCAATTTTCATTATTGTAAAGGACGGAGAGAAGCATCGCAAATAGATTATAATACGATAAATTTTAAATAAAAAACAGCTACATACAAAATTTAAAATATTCAAGTTATATTTAAAATATCCAAGCTACGACATGTTCAAATAATAACAGTATAGAAAACTTAGCTGATACTCTCATAGAAATTTAATTAGGTTTTGGTTTTTAATTGTAGGCTTTTCGACACGTGTTGTATTTTATATTCAAGATGATTGAAATCGTGTTTTTACTTTTGCAGTTTCAAACACAAATGGCTTCAATGAAAATTGTTCAACTGCTCTTCTTTGCCTTGTTTGTTGCTTGCACGGCAAATGGAGTGAATCAACAACGTATCTGCATGCAACTGGAGGCCATAAATGTCGAAGACGAACAATCTGCGATTGAACGTACAAGGTAAGAAATATGTTACGATATTTTGGTTATGGTTGCGATTATAATGATTTAGACTAGGGGTGTGCAAAGTGTGGCCCGCGAGGGAAAAAAGTGCGGCCCGCGGCGAGGTGCCAATTTTGAATGGTGTGCAGATAGCTAAACTAGTTTTTAATTTAGTTTGATCTGGTGTCCTTTGCGTTTCAAAGCACATATACCGAAAACATCCCAACCAAGATAACTTTCCACATTTGAAAAAAGTCATGGCTTCAAATATGGCACTTTTCGGTTACATATTTTTTTCTAAAATGGCCGTCATATCGAATTACTAGCACTTCCATTTAAGCAAAATTGGATAGAAGTAGTCGGGAAAAGAATCCAGCAGAAAATTTCTCACTGAATTTGTTTAAATTGGGTGTGACAATATATTTGAATTGCAGTTTTAAGAAATTTATGCGTTTTACCTTATCATTTCTGCAAGGACCCCTAATGATGACGACATGAGATCAATAACAAAAGCCACTATTTTGTGCCTGCAACTAATAGGAAGTCTATGTTAAATGAAGGTGCGGCCCGCGGTTTTACGCAGTTATTGATATTTGGTCCGCCTGCGAAAAAGGTTGCACACCACTGATTTAGACTAGAGACACCCGAGTGGGTGGGCGGTTCAGTGTCTTATAGTCTAAGCGTTAATCCAATCGACCGAAATTCTTTAGAGATAAAATTATAGGATCTCAAACTCCATATCCAGCTATATACCAACTCACCAGAGGTGTAATAAATTGTTTCCATCCACCTAAGTCCTAAAGCATTCCGTGTCTGCGTTAAAAGAATTATTTGTTCGGACTCAATCATCTTAGGCACGAAAACACCGCATAAAATTACGAATAAAATAGGTCTTGTCTTACGTGACTTAGATTAAACCCGGCTGTTGTTATGGAATCACGGGACCGATTTTCGGACGATACCAGGATATTTATATATTATATTTTAATGCTTTTCCAAACTAAAATTAAAAAAAACAACTGAAAAATAAAATATAATATTAAATTATAGGCTACTTCAATTAACCACAATGCAATTGACAAAATCTAACTTAACTGTGGATCCACACTGTTTTATTTTAAATAAAAATGACTTTTATATTCCAGAAATCCTTATTCCTCCAGACCAGGAAAACGAGGCGCCAAAGGCGATGTTGGCCCAGCAGGATTAAAGGGATCGTCCGGAGAAGTTGATTATAGAAGAATAAACCGAGCAATTCAAGAAAATGTGGAAATCGGTAAGTTTCAGAATAATATGGACAAAATATAATCTAAGTCTGATAACCGGTGTTCCAGAAAAAAAAAAATAAAAAACTTTTTTGAATGGAATATTCAGGTTATAATTAAGATTATTTGCTTTTATCAGTATACAACAAACAAACAGACATCTTCATCGTGTGGCAAGAGTGCACTCGAATTCGAATAAAAAATTCATTGAAATTGTTTGATAATTTAACGTTGTCGAGAAGTCGTGTTTACGGTATTTTTCCATAACTTTGTGTCGAAATTATGCCAAATATGAAAACAATGGGAACTTGAGCCTCTATTTATTTTTTTCGAAATAATATCAATACATCATAGAAATTAGGATAATACGACAAGTCCCAATTTTCGAAGCCTAGTTTCGGTTAATCTATGATACAGCTTGTGCCGATAAACGTTTTTCGAGCCTTTTCTTTGAACAAAAGTTTGCACAAATGTCTCTCATTTTATTGGAATGTGGTGTGACCAGTATCTTAAACTTGAGATTATGTCAGCTCTATTGCCACTAGAATGCACACTCCAGCGATGTCTTTTATATTTCTTTGATACGCATGTAGCCTACTTGTTTTCTGGTTAAATTACAATATAATATGTGTCTAGTTAGTAGGCTGGGTCGTGTAAAAGATTTCATCTTACTTTACAGAATGCAATAAAGTGAACACGGGATTGGTTGGAAGAATAAATAAAATGGAAGAAATGATTCGAAAAATGAATAGAACTGTTTCCGATCCTCGCATGCAGCTGAAGTTACAAGGTACACTATCAAAAAAAGCTATTTCTGACGAAGTATCTGTGGATTTATTTCGTAACAGTAATCAACACAAGAGAAATAAACCTATAATGACAATCATCAACGTTTATTATAAAATATGCACAAAAACTATTTTTCATTAACAGATTGAACGATCTTATAAATAAACAAGCTTCTGCGTTATAGAGAGATAAATGATTTAATACAATATTAGTGTTTATTTGTATTTGTCTGTATGAAAACGTTTAACTTTTTATGATATTTAAAAACTAAATTACGAACCTTAAGCTAAAAGTGAAACGAACATAAATAGTAGAGTTATTATAAGTGGCCAAAGCAGTATTAGGATCCAATTGTTATGTCATTCGAGCGACCAAACTCTAGTAGTTGACGTTGCCTGATTTATTCTTAATTCTCCAATGCTAGAAAAACGGATAGTTTAACGGGAAATTTTGCATTGTTTTTCTACAGGACTTTGTCCCGTACAATATCTAGGTCATTGCTTCTGGTCAGTAGTGCATTCATCTAAGGATATCAATGTGGATGAAGCGAAAAGAATTTGTGGAGTAAACAATGGGTTTCCTGCGAATGTTTATAACGAGCAACATCTGAACGACCTGATGGCTGATATTCGCAGAAAAATATCGGCAGATACGTTTATCTGGACAGGCATGCAAGTCGATATATCAGTAAGTAGCTTACCACGAACATTTTCCGCAACACGATGTAATAAATTTTATGTTAAATTTTTTTATTATTGGAATTTGGAACGATTCAAATGTTAAATTACATCTTATGGATAGGATTTCTAAATTAAATCATTTGTCATACTTTAAAATCTGTATTAAACAGACGAATGCAGTACTCATGCGAGACGGAACAAGGGCGTCGTATGTCAAGTGGTGGACTAGTGGATTTCCGAACGCAGGAGAATCAGGTTTGTATATCCACGTTCAAACTGACCCATCATCCAGCAGACAAGGAATGGGAAACGATCCACCTACAAGCAAATCTCACGGCGTCATTTGTGAAAAATAGAATTCAATGTATTCGAGATTCAGATTCAGATAATTTATTTTCGTCGTGCAAGAAACATTATGAACAACACAAGCATAGTAAATCAAGGCAAAAGAAAACAACAGACACATAATGTTTCGACTGCAATTAACGAGGAGCCGCGAAAGACTATCAAGTCATCGTGTCAGCGACACCATTAAAGCTGAATGACGTCAAAAAAACGTCAAATGATTAAGGTTGAGTTATATATGATCAGGGCAAAAATTTGGAAAACGTAAATCGAATCGAGAGAGTAAGCCAAATGAGAAAAGTTTAAATAAAAAGTATGAATGGAATCAAGAGAGTCGGGGAAGAAATGATTAATCTAGAATTAAGTTAGCTCAGGGGAAATTTAGAAAACGTAAATCGAATCGAGAGAGCAAGTCAAAAGAGAATGGTTTAAAAAGAAATGTGAAGGGAATCGAGAGAGAAATGTTTAAATGGGAACAAATATCCATCGTGTCGAGTAAAAGTCAGAAAAAACGCGTTTACGATAAATCAGTATGTCAGTCTCGCAGCGTCATGCTCGGGTGATCGCAATCACAATATGAAATTGTTGACTGGCAGGACGCTGCAGAAACTTAGCAACTGAAGGGGAATTCCCAGCAACCATAACAGGGGAAGCCGGGTTGGATTAAGTATCGGTACTGATACGGCAATATATAAATAAATAAATATATAAGTACAATTCATACGGCAATATATAAATAAATAAATATATAAGTACAATTCAGACAGGAAAAACAGTTTTGATGGGATGGGAGATGTCCTTATGTTTGAATTATATTTCAAATTCTGTATTTGGTGAAACACATTTTAACACTGTTTTACTTAGTTTTGACGATAAGTTGCCATTCCCGATTATATCGCATGGAAAACTGACTCACTATTCCCACAACATATCTATACTGGTGACCGGAAGACATCCTTGCTCCGCCAGATGAATAAACCTTTTTTACCGAATTCATCATTCTTGGTATATTTGTGAAAATCCTTCGTTACTTTCTACTCACACAATCGGAGTATTGAAAAAGGTTTCCTGTGATAGTGAGAAACCTAATATTGACAAATGTGACAAGTATATGTGACATAAATGTATTGCATGTTATATATAACATGACGCTTTCAACAGTTGATATTTTCATAAAAATGCTTCCAAGTTGTTTTAGATTTTTGGCCTTAACAATGATTACAAGTAGGCACTTGTAAAAAAACATATATTTGTTTTGCTCTCTGCCAATTTGTAAATATACAAAGAAATTCGTTTGCAACTTTCTATAAAATTTCTTTCGGTTGATAGGGTTGAAATAGAAAATGAAATGACCGGGATTGAAATAATTTGTAAAATAAATGCAGCAAGTTAATATCAAATCAAATCGATCTAATAAAAGAAAGGTTAGACGAGACTTAAACTTGGTAAAAAAATTTACGTCCAATTTTAAAATTAGTTCTTAAACATTGCAATACCAATCAAGGCCTATCAGGCTCCGTTATAAACTTACAACTAATTACATTGATTTTATGATACTTATGTGATATTGCTATTGCTGAATGCTTGTATAGATATTCTCCGTGATTTTACTCATTGCTTCAATTTTGTATGTTATTAATAATACATACCACATATATGTATATTATGTCACATAGCAATATATTTCTTGATTGGGGTTTTGGCATGCGTGGCTTGTCAGTTTTTAGGAAGAACGGAAAATTTTGGATAGTAATTATTCGTTCCAATATTGACACATTGTGTAATGCAATGGAATCTAATAAACTTGAGAAAAGATTACTATGCGTTTGATCGCATACCAAAGTAGCACCAAAGAATTTTCAGGCTACTACTACATTTATGAGCCGGAAGAGGTCTACTTCGTTGTTAAACGAAGTCGTGTACACTTCGTCCACTCAGCATTCACTAAGTTGTATAAGTCATTATATGTTATGGATTGGATTTCCCTGGTTTACCGAACCAAGCTCTGAGTGAGATGTTCATGGGTCCTTAGTCTTCGATCATCAGAATACTGAATATTAAATATTGATTTACACTGGTACTGCGAATTTCGAACAAGGTCGTAAGCAAGCAACCACCAAATTTCTTGGGAGTAGGTTTAAGTATTTTTCAGTCCTGGGAAAATGGAATTATCTAAGAATAAATATTCCACAAGAATGTATGTGCAAGCCTACTCTGCGAGATGGCACGAAAGAGATTTTATTTAAATGTTTATTTAAATCCTTTCGGCTATGGCTCCTATACATGACCTAATAGGAACACAAAACTGGTTGCGGTTTGGAGTAAGATTACAATTTAGTGCCATCACATCCAGCGCCAAACCACTATCACATCAAACCCACTAATTGTGTTTTTAGACGCGATAAGTTACGTCTATAGATATAAGTTTGCCCGACGAATGTTAAGATCGAACTGGAAATTGCAAAAGTTTGCGCAGGAAGGCAAATTGGTTGTCAGTTTACTCAAATTGCGATTCTACCTATTTCACATTGCTCAGCATAAAGTCATGTGCAAGAAGCCATCGATGAGAGATGCTCATAGACTACTATATGCAGATGGCCTTACTGGTTGCAGATCATTACTACGCTTTGGTCAGAAATAGGCGCGACCAGTGATTGATTGATCGACATGTTCTATTGTCGGATTAAACTATTCGTAGATATCTGATATAAATAATGTTTTCAATAAACCAAAACAGAGTAAGATAATGAGCCTTATCACTAAGATAAGAATTATGTGAAACAATTCTTTGACTTAGCGATGGCCTCATAACCCCCTTGCCAGAACCTAAGTACTATAGACTAGAGTGCGTACAGATTTTGAAGAATACTATTTTGTTATTTATTTTCATATTTCAGATGGATTCAAAAATAGTGTTTGTTATTTTGCTTATAATTTAGATGTAATTGCCAGATGTCTCCGAGTGAGTAACATTCAAGAAATTTTAAATCCAATCTTCTTTCTCAAAACCAATGAACCTATACCACGAATTAATTTGAAAATTTGTTTAATTGATTCAGTTTAAATAAAAATTAATAATAGAATATAGTTTATATAAAGCATTCCAGATTTGCTAAAATTTGAAGAAAAGCACTTTACATAGGTTTGTCAATCATTTTTTTGTACCTTTTTAATTATTTAGCAATAACAAATAAAACGAGAATATCGGTCAGAGAGCGAACTCTTTTCGATCGAAAGTTAGGGGATCCCCCAAAACAGCGCTCTTATTCCACAGTGACAACACTAAATAATTAATAACTCGCTAATTATACGACATAATTCATCCCAAATCAATAGGCTTCTGGTCCGACATATGATAAATGCGCATGCAAAATCTGGAGCAGATTCAATCTCGCTTTCCGTGAATAATCGCGTGCTTCCAACAGACAAAACAGACCAAACCAGGACAAACAGACAAAACAGACAAACAGACAAACAGACAAACGGACAAAACGGACAAAAGCGGACAAACGGACAACGGACAACGGACCAACAGGACAAACGGTGACAAAACGGACAAACGGACAACCGGACAAAACGGACAAACGGACAAACGGACAAACGGACAAACGGACAAACGGACAAACGGACAAACGGACAAACGGACAAACGGACAAACGGACAAACGGACAAACGGACAAACGGACAAACGGACAAACGGACAAACGGACAAACGGACAAACGGACAAACGGACAAACGGACAAACGGACAAACGGACAAACGGACAAACGGACAAACGGACAAACGGACAAACGGACAAACGGACAAACGGACAAACGGACAAACAGACAAACAGACAAACAGACAAACAGACAAACAGACAAACAGACAAACAGACAAACAGACAAACAGACAAACAGACAAACAGACAAACAGACAAACAGGCAAACAGGCAAACAGACAAACAGACAAACAGACAAACAGACAAACAGACAAACAGACAAACAGACAAACAGACAAACAGACAAACAGACAAACAGACAAACAGACAGACAGACAGACAAACAGACAAATACCTATCAACATACTTACCGATTAAAATCGATGTAAAACGAAAAGTATGTTCACTTCGTATCTGAGAAACCCATTGCCATTACTTAGCAATTGAACTAATAAAAGAATTTGAAAATACATTATAGTTATTGGACACGTTTAGTGGACACAACGATCGTTTTGTTGTTATGTTGTTCTTGTTGTTCTTTGACACTTTTTGGACACCTAGTGGAAATATTAAAAAACCGCTTTTCTCTTTGATCACTGAACCAATTGCTTTGAAATTTCTAGTGGTTAAAGATGAAATTTTTCTCCAGAAGGCTATTACTTTTATTTATTTCAAATATTTCTGTTAGCTCTGTGAGATTTGTTTTTGTTTGCTATGACGTCAGCGAACGTTCTGCGGGTATCGGACGCCATTTAGTGTCCCACTGTACTGCTTCGCTTGGTGTGAATATATTTGTATACTGTGATCTGACGGTACGGTAAACCGTACTCTACTGCGAACAGACGTGTCCATATATTTAGGCGTAGCTCTCTTGTTTAAAGAAATTCCAAATTATTGCACTGGAGCATTGAAATATTATAAGCAAAGTGGTAAAGGATGAAGGAAGGAGACAGCTACTAGGAGGAAAGATATTCAAACTCAAACCGCAATTGATAAATTAAAGAATTCACTTTTGCGACATGAATATGAAGTTTACAATCATGGTCGGAAAAAATTTGAACGACTTAAGAAGAAATATCGATTTCAATAATTGAAGAATCCACATAAAAACTATTTGGATATATACATTTTTATACAGTCATTATACACTTGGATATATAGTCAAAATTTTCGATTTGTCGAAAGTAATTCGAAAAAGAAGATCCCGATCTGAGCCAGTAAAATCTGTTTACCACCAATCGCTAGTTGGAACCCACTCTTGGGCTACGTATTTCTATGTATGCGGGCAAATCCTTAGTATTCCTTTCAATTCCTTGCAGTTTATTGTCTTAAGAAAGTGAATAATTTCTGTTATAAGTAATTTTTTCGTTTTATTTACTCACCCCTGTCATTTTGGGACTTTATTCTACGAAGTGGGCTATCTTATAATTGCTATGTGTGTAAGCAAATTCAGTTTAAGTTCTGCCATACGCCTTCTACCTTTTTAAATACCATTACCGTTATAGGTGATTTATTCATATTATTTGTTTATTTCTGTTATATATATTATGAATTCATACTAAAGCCAGATTGGGTTTTCCAGTTCAGCCATTGCTAGTTATAGACGCATATGGAGTTTTGTATAAATTCATTATTTATAGTTCACACAGCAGTAAAGTTCGCTTTAAAAATTATGCTTGTCGTGCACTGTATATGACAATAACAGCGATTCATAAGCTGTTGATAAATAGCCTCTTATTCAATTTACCCAATAACGTTTGGGCACGTTTTATGCTTTTATCAATCTGGACTAGATCATAGGCGTGGAGTTATTGTTTGCATAATTTATTTTAGGTTATCTCGCCAGATTTTCGTTCCTTCCTTTTGTTCTACTTTTAAATCCTAGCTCCTGTCTGGGTACTTCCGAAGTATGTGTACCAATATGGCGCAAACCTGAACATAGTATGTGTACTAGGTTAGGGTTATCAGGTTGTGCGTCCTCTTGGTACACATACTTCTGGAGCGGCCCTGTCCGTGCATCTCGCACATTTCGTATATCACCGTCACTGCAGTGTTTGTACCTGGATATACTTGGTACACGTACGAGACGGCGAAGCACGGTGAAGGCTTCGTATGTTACCCAGCTTCAAATCCTTTTAAAAGGGAGCGATGAATTATGATAGACTGATAAACAACAAGTTGGAAATATAGGCTTGAGTACTAGGAAAAATATTGAATAATATCAACGAATGGCTAATAAATGTACCATGTCAGTAATTCACCACCTAAAGCAGAATTAAGCCATATCTGTTGTGTTTGTACTAAGCCGTAAGCCAAAATGTTCAATAACGATATGCAGTTCATTGCATCAACTATCTACGATTACATTTGGTTAGGAACATTATAACAACAATATTGCGTCCATTTGAGATCGGAAAAGAATGAATTGTAAGGAATTCAGTGATCACAGTTTGTCTACTTTGCATCAATCATAATATGTTCAAAATGTCTGAACAAGAAATTTTGGAGAACAATCTTAAACAAGATTTTAAAAGGTGAAAAATCGAAAAGATTTGTTAGTTTTGATGGAGATGATGTCTTGGCAATGTGTAGTACTAAACTAACCATCGTAAATCAATAGGATGGCAAGCATTACTTAACTCTGAGATGGGGATGACCCGATGGGTCGGAAGGCCGGTTAGTGATATTTGCTCAGAATTTTTTTATTTAAATGTAACTATATTTGTCCTGCCACAACCCTAATTTTTTTGCTGAACTCTAAGCTACGGCAAACTTTTTATTCTGCATTGGCAAGATGATACAACCCGCTGTGAATGCGCGGCAAGAAATTTTAGGCGAGAGGCATGTTTCAAAATCAGGTAACATTTGAAAATTGTGCAATTATTGAAAGCAGCTTTTAGTGTTGCTATCACAACGTATTCTTAGCTACGGTTGAGACGGTTCTTTTGATTGGTAAGCAGTTTCAATTCGAGTGCGACACGGAGTCTCACAGGCAGGACCAGATTTAAACGATGAGAAGCCCGAGATCAGGAATGTTTAAACTGAGAGGCTTCCAACTGCGCAAACCAATGCCACAAAAAAAGGAACAAACGCAAAAAATAATAAGGCAGAGATGATTTATAAATTAAATGAGGGCTAATTTAGACATTTGTGATAAAATTCTTGTAAATATACTAGATTTGCATGTGGCATTTTGGTGTTGCTTTCACGCCGTATTCAAGTGACGGGTGATACGTAAGGTTATATGTAAAGCAAATCGTCGTTTATAAAATTTAGTTTCCTGTATACTGGAACATATGAATCATTCATCATTCAAGTGGAAAGCTATTCATTGAATGTGGTTCGTTAGATTTATGCTGATCGACCAAAACAGATCGCAGTGACATGGACGTAATTTGATTTTCACTTTGTCATCGATTCAATTGTGCATTTGTGACTGAGACGATTCAAGTCAGTCTTACACGACATGTAATATCTAGGTCTATTAGTTATTTAGAAAAGCGCAATTTTGAAAATGAATGGACAAGGTTCTCGCTGATGACTTGAGATATGCCTGAGTCGTATGCCTCAAAATTCTTTGGCTGAAAATCCCTTTGCGTGAATTCTCACTTGAAATTAATCAGGCATTTGACAAAAATCTCAGAAACTATATATTGAGTTAACGATATTGAATTTCATGTAGCTTTTAACGGTTTCTCAATAAATATAAAATGAGTTTGAGTTTACGTTAAAGAGGAAGTGTATATGAATATCACGAGCAGAAAGACAATAAGACGTCCCAACAATATGGTGAACTATACGCCCTATAGACCGATAGCAGGAATGTCAGGTTAGGGAAATGTCAAATTCGTCCAACAATAGTATGAAACGTTGAATCAGTTTGTGAATGTTTGCTTCGAGGAGGTTTCATCGTTTATTGGACACAAGATGAAAGTATAGATCGTTTTAGTATTACGTTATTGCAGTTTAATTATATTCGTTTTCTTGTTGTTGTGGGGAAATCGCCTCTTTCTCAAATTCCTGGACCAATTGCTTTGTAATTTTCAGTGGTGAAAGATTGTTGTTATCGCTAGAAGACTATTACTTTTATTTATTTTAAAAATTTCTGTGAGCTCTTCGGAATTTGTTTTTTTGTATGTGATGATGTCATCACATTAAAAATTGCGCAACTTGTGGCGGTTTCGCGTTCGCGCTCATTGCGATGTGGTCAGCTGAAGTCGCGAAGACCGCGATTCCGTACACGATACTGTGAAAGAATTTAAACCCGTATTAATTCGTTTCGGCCTTTGTGTCTATCTATCTGAATATTGCCCTATTGCTTGGGATTTGGAGTCAGAATATGGAGACGGTTAAAATTGACAATAGACTCCGGGTTGAAATAAATTTGAACCGAACTCGAATTTGATAGTAATTGTGACTCCAGCTCCGAACTACCGATAAAATCAAATCTTGATGACAAAAACTTTGGCGTATTCAGACTTTCCATAATAGACTGAAGAACGTTCAGTAAACTAAATTTTTTCTCGAGCCTCCGTAGGGAATTTTGATTCAATTATCACACTCAAAATTCTGAAGATTCGACTCAACAAATCCCAAAATTTTGATTGCAACGAGTTCGAAAAAAACGACTGCCACTCCAGTAATAACCCTTCTTCAGAACAAATCAATTCAATATTCTGAAATCAATATTTGAGCGATATGCTGGATACTAAATGTGCTAACCTATTTAAAGTGTGATAAATACTTGCAATTCGTTACATTAGGAAGTTTTTTGATTTTTTTTTTATCGAAAATATTAGGCTGTTAAAAAACCCATTTGCGATCGTATGGTAAAAAATATGCATTTATGTATCAGAATCCGATTGTAGGTCCTGGGAGTTGGGAATTCGCAACTTCGAATTCCGTTGGGGATAATTTATTTGCGAGGGTATTGCTATACTCGTCGTTGCGAGGTGATTAATTAACGTCGTCTATTTGCGAAGGACAACAAATAGGAAATAATAGCTATGGCTTACGAATGTCCGATAGTCAGATTTCATCCAAATGCTGGGATTGAAAATATGGCGATTGGGTCTCAACAACAAGACGAACCAGTCCAAGATCCTATTTACGAAAACTCCCTCCCTCGTGTTATACAAATGGAAGGAAATATTGAAACAGGTAAAATCGTTATTGGACACGTGTACATTTGAATCGTTTTTTTTCTTAAATCTTGTTGTTGTGGTTGTTTGGGTCGCTAATGATGGTCTAATTTTAAATTTTTAGTGTTTAAAGATGGAAGGAGCCGCTAAAAAGCTGCTACTTATTTTTTTTTAAATTTTCTCATCAGTGTCCCATGGTCCGATGCTTTCTTCAAAATTTTCCCCCTACTGAAACACGACCTTAGTGTCCGTACATTTGAGCATTGCTCATTTGTTTATTATTAGACAGATGCGCAACCTGCAACCCGCGGCCAAATGCGGCCCCCCCAAAAAAATGTCCGGTCCGCAGGTGAGTGCCAATTTTGAATAGTCTGCGGCCCGCGAGCAATTCTAATCTTTTTGCGTTGCAAAGTCTATCTAATATCTAAGCCTATGACATTACAATGTTATTTGTTCTTGCAACTACTAGAAATCTTACCTCAAATAGAGGTTCGACCCGCCTTTTCACCTAGTCATTTGTATCTGGCCCGGCTGTATTAAAGGTTGCACACCGTGGGGTGTGGAATTGGTGTAAGTTTACCTGTATCAAATTCAAAATTGTGATTTCACACTACACATCTCACACAAGCCTCTAATAAACATATCTAAAATAACCCAGATATCAATCAAAAATTGGAAATAAAACTTACAGACTCTAGATTCCACTTCATATAAAGGGCAAGATGGGAAATTCAGTGTTTAAAATCACAGGTGCTGCGAAACTTTGATTTGCTAGTGTTAATTTCCCCAATCTTTTTAGTACAGTTGCCGTTGCCGAGAGTAAGGAAATTAAATCAAGTGGAAAAAGATCGAATATTGGGAAAACCGTGGGATTCTTGATTCTTATGTCGCTGTTTAGTTGTTTGTCTTATATGGCATCACTATCTTCTTGGTTCAGGTATCACTATTATTATTTTAATAATATTTAACTTGTTTCGTTGTTGCAACTTGGTAGAATTGAGTTATTTTTGTCAAGCTAGCATAAAAGCTAAAACAATGTCGATGGGAAGACCGTGCTGTAAATAGATATTGAAATCTAAATCTTGCGATATCCGCATGGTGACGTCACAATATAGAGTTTGTAATACGTTGAAGTAAGTCAGCAGATACGTATAATAGAAACTTCCCAACTACAAAGAATTTCCATACTTGTATATTCCCTGTTTAAAATTTGTATATTTTACTTGTATTAATATGTAAATAGAATAAAAATGCTTTTCGTTTAGAATCATTCTATCGTTCTATTTTCGGAGTAAGCTGCCGACTGTAGTAACTCCTATTGATGTGTGACTTCACGAAATTGAAAATATTTTGCCTAAAGTTCAATTTGCTGTTTCAATAAGCAAATCCTTCTTTAATTTACAGCCAATTACTCAAGTTCATAAACAAAGACTCGAAACAAAACATAGTGAATCTTATTTTTTTTTGCACAGGCGACAACTAAACTTGAAGATTCAAACGAAGGTTAGCTTATATTGCGCCTATTTCCATATATGCGTTAGTATGATCCACAAAGATGGCTCTTAATAATCACTGAAAAATGTGAAAAATATAGCCCGCCCGAAGATCTAGAGTCAGATATTTTAAAACACGGATAAACGGTTTGGAAAATCACACTTGACTTCAAAATCTTAGTCCTTTAAAAACTTCGATCTTATAAATCCAAGAAAACTAAAACTAAACCACTATTTAGCGTGTGCGAGCTCCTTTGTTTGTGAATGCTTAGAATCTCATTTGAATTCCTACTTCGATTACCACTGTTTGTCTAGAATTCCTACCCCGGAGAGTTTCAAAACGCGTTCCTGCGTTCTCTGATGATTGTATATACTATATATTATGATGTCCATGAAGTGCGAAGGGAATATATCGATACCATATATTGTTTTGACCCTCGCTTAAACAATTACTGATTATAAAACAAAAACCCTGCTTTAAGATATATTGAGAACCGACTTCATAAAAAATTGAAATTGTAAAGGGACTGTATTTCTTTGATAATCTCAATTTAGATTAATCGTTATTAGGAACTTAGGTGTATTTCAATTAATTATAATTAAGCGAAATTCAATTGTGCAATTCTACAATATTGGAACATTTGGCATCACAGACATTGTGTGTTTATTGTCCTCTGCGAAAGTCAGCGGAGTTTATTTATTCCGCTAAAGTACTCTTTGATACTACTGAAACAAAAATCCATATGATTGAACCGCCTTTCCTCTGTCCGGGTTAAATATAAAATTCGGCGCTCCAGTAGTATGTGTACCAATATGGAGGTAACTAATTTTGTTCACCTACTTTACATCAAGTTGTGTAAAGGGAATGAAACCTATGGGAAGGGGGTATATTCACTTGACTAACACAGACAGTCCTCGAACTCGTAATAGAACTAAAATAAAGAAAATCGAAATAAAATTATGCCCTAACCCTGGTCGGGTACACACAAAAAAAATCTTATTCTATATTATGTTAGGCGATTATCCATTCATAAAAAAATTCCGATATATAATGTTTAGAAATCATGATCTTGCAAAACATCACCAGCGAACAAAAGAAGGAAAATGCAACTACTCGATCGCATTCAAATCAGGCCATGAATAACACTCAACGATTGTCTCAAAGAGACGAAACGATTGCAAAGAATTTAGCAGATTTAGATGATAAACGAGGTAAGACAATCATATCGAATCTATAGTAAACCTAAGAAAAGCGCTCGAATTGCAAATGACGTAATATGTATGTTTTATTTGATAAATAGGAAAAAATCATCTAAAGGGCTTTGAAATATCTATGCAAATAAAAGCTTCGATTGCACCCATTCGCAGACATGGCCCATTCTTATCCTCAGCGCAGTGGCGTATCTACGTGGCGCCCATGCCAAGGCGCCGCCTGGCTGACAATTTTTATCGACTGTTGTTGAATTGGGATACTAATACGGTAATATTTACGTGAAAATACGAGTTTTATTTAATTCAAACTTGACTTTTATACGATTAAAACTTTTCGTTCATTTTGCGCCCATATCCAAACCGAGTCCATGGCTGCCACACCCTAGATACGCCACTGTCTCAGCGACTACCGGCGTCTTTAATCCGCATAAGACACTTCACTTATGTCAGATTTCACGAACCAACCATTTAATGTTTGTTTTCAATAACAGTAAATTGTCAGAAAAACTTGATCGGCTTGATTAAGAATTCCGGAGAACAAGTTGCGAAGAACATATCCTTCATGCAACAAACGATCGGTGAGTTACTAATATTACGCCATAATTATCATCTTAAGAAAATAACTAGAATATCGGTTAGAAACCGAAGACTTATCAATCGAAGGTTAGGGATCTCCCAAAACAGTGGTCTTACTCCATAGTAACACCGTGTGTCTCATAAATAATTAATTAATAACTCGCTAATTATAAGACATAATCCATCCAAAATCAATAGGCTTCTGATCCGAGCTATGATGAATGCACATGCAAAATTTGGAGCAGATTCAACCTCGCTTTCGTGAGATATCGCGTGCATCTAACACACAGACATACAGACAAACAGACATACAGACAGACAAATACCTATCAACATACTTACCGATCTTAAGATCGATAAGTAACAATGGGAATTAAGCATCTATATGTCTTCAAATAATAATCAATACCCTATAGAAATTAGGATAATACGACAAGTCCCAATTTTTGAAGCCTAGTTTCGGTTAATCTATGATACAGCTTGCGTCGATAAACGTTTTTCGAGCCTTTTCTTTGAACAAAAGTTTGCACAAATGTCTCTCATTTTATTGGAATGTCGTGTGACCAGTATCTTAAACTTGAGATTATGTCAGCTCTATTGCCACTAGGGGGGGCACACGTCCAAGCGATGTCTTTTATATTTTCTTTGATATGCTTATTGTAGCTGTTTATTCTGGTTAAATTACAATATATTATGTGTTTAGTTAGTAGGCTGGGCCGTGTAAAAGATTTTATTTTACTTTTCAGAATGCAATAGAGTGAACACGGGACTGATTGGAAGAATAAATAAAATGGAAGGAATTATTCGAGAAATGAATAGAACTGTTTCCGATCTTCGCAGGCAGCTGAAGTTACAAGGTACACTATCAAAAACAGCTATCTCTGATGAAGAAGCTGTGGATTGTTTTTAAACAGAATTCAACACAAGAGAAATAAACCTGTGATGACTATCAACAACGTTCTTTATACAAAAACTATTTTTCATTACCAGATTGAACGATCTTATAAATAAACAAGCTTCTGCGTTATAGTAAGATAAATGACTCAATATAATTTTAATGTTTATTTGTATTTGTCTGTATGAAAACGTTTAACACTTTTAATTTATTAAAAAACTAAATCACGAACCTTAAGCTAAAAGTGAAACGAACAGAATTAATAGAGTTATTATAAGTGGCCAAGCATATATTATAAGCATTATTAGGATCCACATTTTATGTCATTCGAGCGACCAAACTCTAGTGGTTGACGTAGCCTGATGCATTCTTAAGTCTCCAATGCGAGAAAAACGGATAGTTTAACTGGAAATTTTGCATTGTTTTTCTACAGGACTTTGCCCCGTACAGAATCGCGGTCATTGCTTCTGGTCCGTAGTGCATTCAACTAGCGATATCAATATGGACGCAGCAAGAAGTATTTGTGGAGAAAACAATTGGTTTCCTGCGAATGTTTATAACAAGCAACATTTGAACGACTTGATGGATGATATTCGCAAACGTATATCGTCCTCGAGGCAAATATGGACAGGAATGAAGGTCGATTTATCGGTAAGTAGGTTACAACGACCATTTCCCCCAACAGCATGTAATCAGTTTTATTTCCAATCTCTTTATAAGCATTTTTACGATGTCATTATTAAATTACCTCTTGCAAGTAGAAATTCAAAATTTAATCATATGACTTAATTCAAAATCTGTATTATACAGACGAATGCAGTACTCATGCGAGACGGAACAAGGGCGTCGTATGTCAAGTGGCGGTCTAGTGGATTTCCGAACGCAGGAGAATCAGGTTTGTATATTTACGTTCAAACTGACTCATCATCCAGCAGACAAGGAATGGGAAACGATCCACCTACCAGACAATTTCCCGGCGTCATTTGTGAAAAATAAAATTTAATGTCTTCGAGATGTCCTTATGTTGAATTATATTTCAAATTCTGTATTTGGTGAAACACATTTTTAACAATGTTTTACTTAGTTTTGACGATAAGTTGCCATTCCCGATTATATCGCGTGGAAAGCTGGCTCACTATTCCCACAACATATCTATACTGATGACCGGAAGACATCCTTGCTCCGCCAGATGAATAAACCTTTTTTACCGAATTCATCATTCTTGGTATATTTGTGAAAATCCTTCGTTACTTTCTTCTCACACAATCGGAGTATTGAAAAAGGTTTCCTGTGATAGTGAGAAACCTAATATTGGCAAATGTGACAAGTATATGTGACATAAATGTATGGCATGTTATATATAACATGAAGCTTTCAACAGTTGATATTTTCATAAAAATGCTTCCGAGGTGTTTTAGATCTTCGGCCTTAACAATGATTACAAGCAGGCACTTGTTTCTAAGAAGCCACTAGATTTGTAAATGCCGGTGTAATGACTTTCTTTTTGATATCTTCGAAAACACATATTTGTTTTGCTCTCTGCCAATTGGTAAATATACAAAAAAATATGCTTTTTTTGCCATGTCTTAAATTAGGTTTATTCGCGTAGTGTTTTGCATATTCGTTTTCAAGTTTCTATAAAAGTTCTTTCGGTTGATAAGGTTGAAATAAAAAAAGAAATGACCGGGATGAAATAATTTGTAAAATAAATGCAGCAAGTTAATATCAAATCAAATCGATCTAATAAAAGGAAGGTAAAACGAGACTCAAACTTCGAAACACAGTTACGTCCGAATTTATTAAAATTAGTTCTTAAACATTGCAATACCAATCACGGCCTATCAGGCCTATCAACTAATTACATTGATTTAATAATACTTATGTGATATTGCTATTGCTGAATGCTTGTATATATATTCTCCGTGCTTTTACTCTTTGATTCAATTTTGCATGTTATTAATAATACATAACACATATATATATGTCACATAGAATTATATTTCTTGATTGGGGTTTTGGAATGCTTGGCTTTTTAGTCTTTAAGAATTCCGGAAAATTGAGCAAATTTTGGACAGTAATTATTCGTTCCAATATTGACGCATTGCGCAATGCAATAGAATCTAATAAACTTGAGAATGAGATTACTATGGGTTTGATCACATACTAAAGTAGCACCAAAGAATTTTCAGGCTACTACTACATTTATGAGCCGGAAGAGGTTTACTTCGTTTTTAAACGAAGTCATGTACACTCCGTCCACTCAGCATTCACTAAGTTGTTTAAGTCATTATATGTTATGGATTGGATTTCCCTGGTTTACCGAACCAAGCTCTGAGTGAGATGTTCATGGGTCCTTAGTCTTCGATCATCAGAATACTGATTATTAAATATTGATTTACACTGGTACTGGGATTTTCGAACAAGGTCGTAAGCAAGCAACCATCAAATTTCTTGAGAGTAGGTCTAAGTATTTTTCAGTCCTGGGAAAATGGAATTATCTAAAAATAAATATTTCACAAGACTGTATGTGCAAGCGCACTTCGCCAGACGGCACAAAAGAGATTTTATTTAAATGTTTATTTAAATCTTTTCGGCTATGGCTCCTATATATGACCTAATAGAAACACAAAACTGGTTGAGGTTTTAGGTTTGATTACGATTTAGTGCCATCACATCCAGCGCTAATTGTTAATGCCTGATTGAATAGAGTATGATTGTTTGTTTCCTTCCAATATTAATGTCTGATTTATAGTCGATCTTTGAAACAACGAATGAGTAATTACGTACTACACATATGATTCGACATTTCCGTTAATTGTTTACTTAATTTGATAGTTTATTAATCTGACAAATATTTTCAGTTTTAATAATTCCTATGGTTCATATTTCAAACATAACGCAAAAATTTTATCGATAAAATGGGCAATTTTTAAATGGCGCCTCATCTGTAGTATATATCGCCGATATAAGCGTAAATTAAGTTTTATTTGTTTTTCGTTATTCATAGGTTCATCAAACCCACTAATTGTGTTTTTAGATGCGATAAGTTACGTCTATAGATATAAGTTTGCCCGACGAACTGGAAATTGCATAAGTTTGCGCAGGAAGGCAGCTTGGGTGTCAGTTTACTCAAATTACGATTCTAGTTATTTCACATTGCTCAGCATAAAGTCATGTGAAAGAAGCCACCGATGGGAGATGCTCATAGACTACTATATGCAGATGGTCTTACTGGTTGCAGATCATTACTACGCATTGGTCAGAAATAGGCGCGAAAAGTGATTGAGGGATCGACATGTTCTATTGTCGGACTAATATATTCGTAGATATCTGAACTAGAAATAATGTTTTCAATAAACCAAAACAGAATATGATAATGAGCCTTATTGCTAAGATAAGAATTATGTCAAACAATTCTTCGACTCAGCGATGGACTCCCTTGCCAATAAGTACGACAGAGTGCGTACAGATTTTGTAGAAATACTATTTTGTTATTTATTTTCATATTTCAGATGGATTCAAAAATAGTGTTTGTTACTTTGCTCATGGCTTTGATGTAAATGCCAGATGTCTCTGATTGAAAAACATTCAAGAAATTTTAAATCCAATCTCCTTTCTCAAAACCAATGAACCTATATATACCACGAATTAATTTGAAAATTTGTTTAGTTGATTCAATTTAAATAAAAATAAATAATAAAATATAGTTTATATAAAGCATTCCAGCTTTGCTAAAATCTGAAGAAAAACACTTTACATAGGTTTGTAAATCAGTTTTTTGTAACTCTTTTATTATTAGGTAATAACAAATGAAACAACAATTTTGCAAAACGAAAAGTATGTTCACTTTGTATCTGGTAAACCCATTGCCATTACTTAGCAATTGGACTAACAAAAGAATTTAAAAATACTTCACAGTTATTTGAAAAAATGCTTCCAAATTATTTAGCATTAAAATAATATAAGCGAAGTGGTGAAAGATGGCGGAAGGAGAGAGCTACAAGGAGGAAAGATGTTCAATCTCAAGCCGCAATTGATAAACTGAAGAATTCACTTTTGCGACATGAATATGAAGTTTACAATCATGGTCGGAGAAAATTTGAACGACTCAGGACGAAATATTGATTTCAATATCTGAAGAATCCACATAAAAAACTATTTGGATATATACATTTTTATACAGTCATTATACATTTGGATATATATACGGTCAAAATTTTCGATTTGAAAGTGATTCGAGAAAGAAGATCCCGATCTGAGCCAGCAAAATCAGTTTAACACCAATCGCTAGTTGGAACCCACTCTTGGGCTACGTATTTCTATGTATGCAGGCAAATCCTTAGTATTCCTTTTAATTCCTTGCAGTTTATTGTCATAAGAAAGTGAATAATTTCCGTAAGAAGCAATTAATTCGTTTTATTTACTCACCCCTGTCATTTTGGGACTTTATTCTACGAAATGGGCTATCTTATAATTGCTATGTGTGTAAGCAAATCCAGTTTAAGTTCTTCCATACGCCTTCTACCTTTTTAAATACCATTACCGTTATAGGTGATTTATTTATATTATTTGTTTATTTCTGTTATAAATATTATGAATTCAGGAGATTGGATCTTCCAGTTCAGCCATTGCCAATTATAGACGCATGCTTGGAGTTTTGTATAAATTCATTATTTATAGTTCACACAGCAGTGAAGTTGGGCTTGAGTACCAGGAAAAATATTGATTAATTTCAACGAATAGCTAATAAATGTACCATGCATACTCAAGATGCCAGTAATTCACCTAAAGCAGAATTGAGCCATATCGACGGGTATCATCTGTAGTGTTTGTACTAAGCCGTAAGCCAAAAATGTTCAATAACGATACGCAGTTCATTGCATCAAGTATCTACGATTACATTTGGTTAGGGACATTATAACAACAATATTGCGTCCATTTGAGATTGGAAAAGAATGAATTGTAAGGAATTCAGTGATCACGGTTTGTATACTTCACATCAAAATAATATTTTCGAAAAGTTTGAACAAGAAATTTCGGAGAACAATTTTGAGAAAGATTTCAGAAGGTGAAAAATCGACAAGAGTTGTTAGTTTTGATGGAGATGATGTCTTGGCTATGTGTAGTACCAAAGTAACCATCGTAAAACAATACTATGGCAAGCATTACTTAACTCTGAGATGGGAATGACCCGATGAGTCGGTAGGCCGGTCAGTTTTATTCAAATGTAACTATATTTGTCCTGCAACAACCCTGATTTTTTGCTGAACTCTGAGCTACGGAAACTTTTTAGTCTGCATTGGCAAGATGATCCAACCCGCTGTGAATGCGCGACAAGAAATTTTAGGCGATGCATGTTTCAAAATCAGGTAACATTTGAAAAGTTGTGCAATTATTAAAAGCAGCTTTTGGTGTTGCTATCACACCGTATTCTTAGCGACGGTTGAGACGGTTCTTTTGATTGGTAAGCAGTTTCAATTCGAGTGCGACACGGAGTCTTACAGGCAGGACCAGATTTAAACGATGAGAAGCCCGAGATCAGGAATGTTTAATTAAACTTACTGGCTTCCAACTGCGCAAACCAATGTCACCAAAAAGGAACACACGCAAAAATAATAAGGCAGAGATGATTTATAAATTAAATAGATGCTAATTTAGACATTCGTGATGAAATTCTTGTAAATATACTAGATTTACATGTGGCATTTTGGTGTTGCTTTCACGCCGTATTCAAGCGACCGGTGAGAAAATTTTGTTATGATTGGCAGACAGTTTCATTCCAAGGGCAACACGGAGTTTCGCATGTAGGACCAGATTTGGACGAAAAAAGAACACACGCAAAAATTAATGAGGCAGAGATGATAATTCATAAATTGAATGGACGCTAATTTAGACACTCGTGGTAAAATTCATGAAAAATATCACTGAGAAACATTGAGATAAGAGTTCACGTCGGGTCAACGTTCGTGGCGTGGTGACTTGGTGCTATTCAAAATCTATATTTTGCCTCTGTAAGGAAATGAAGTATATAAATCCAGAAATAGTAATATTAATGATTTTTTCACCCAGAATTATTTCTATTTCTGGACTTATATACTTCACCAACCTCCGTAAATACATGACACGACGTCATTTGCAATGAGTATTTCAGATCTAATATGAGAGAATTGACCTGACTTGGTCGCCTAATAACCAAGTATAAACGAAATAATCCAACCGGCAATGTTAAAGCACAATGCATTGCATCCTCAATCAACAGCAAACATGTAAATTTGAGCTGCATTTAGGAAAAAATTAACGGAGGAAATTAGGTCTGAGAAGCGAGAAAGTGCCTTCTATCAGCAAAACAAGCTCAAGGTTCTCATTCTTTTATGAATATATCAGTAATGAGTTTTCATTGCTCAATATTTGTGGTTTTTGAAAGCCTATACCCGAGAAATATCTCAGCTTGAAACTATACCGCTCTGCAAAAAAGATTGCTATTACAGATAGTAATAATTGAAGCCGTGGTTTCAGATCTGTTTCCGATGTATCGCCCAAGAATAACGACCAAACAGATATTTCGATATCAAATCAAACCCAAAACAAATTACAAGTGCTGATTGCAATTACAATATTTTTTGTCGTTTGGATAGATGACGGGATGCCAACCAATGGACCGAAGTTTACAAAAAATGTTGCTTCAATGAAAAATACAACCTGTTTTTTTTATTTCCGTGATTTACATGCTAACTACAGTGCTAGAAAAAAAAGAATCATATTTACAATTTTATATACAACAACAACAACAACAAAATACAAAATTATTATTAAATTTCGAATTATTTTCAACCGCGCATTAATTAGATCAACCATGCAAAGTGGGATAACTTAATTCTAACAATTTCTTTCAATAAGTAATTTAGGTACAGGAAATTATGATGGATATACCTTTGAATTTCTTGTATTTATGTTTGTAGGCAAGGGAAAACAAATTTGGTC